CGTGTGTGAGCGTACGGACTGGATTATTGTATCTCTGGAAAGGGCCCAGTGATGCACACTTTTGAATACGGTAATTAAGTTTCTTAATTCATATAAGTGGGGAATTTCTGTTAATTATAAGTTTCTTAGCTTCCCATGAAGGATTTTGACCCGTGGAGTTTATTTGATGGGAAGACCATATATGTATAAACTATTCATGAATTTATAGGCCCTAACTGACGAGAAAAGAGTAAGAGGAAATTAAAGAAAACTTTGTTACCAAGTTACCAACTGAAGAAAATAATCATTCAGATGGAACGGAGGTTCTCACAGCGAGAACTGTAAAGGGTATTGTCTTGTGGGATATAAGGCCATGTAGACAGATGTAAACCTACCGAAGTTTCGGAGGAACTTTTGGCTTCATCTTCAGGGTCGAAGACTAAGCCAAGCAAGAAATTAGCATAGCCTTAACCTTAGCTTACTCTTCGATATTCAACATAATGCACAGTCAAAACATCATAAAGATTAGGAAACATGAGAGGAAAAAGTTAAGGAAGAAGTTACCGAAAAGGATTACATATGCATACTTGCAGATTTTAACTGTTCTTTTACTTTACGTCCTCGGCTCACGTGAGAGTTCACATCCGGTTTGCCGTGATTCAGAGACGGTGTCCTTCCGCCCCTGAAAAAAGTTACCGACTTCGGGAAAACCTACAAGAGTCACGCGTAATGAAAGTTTATTACTATTTAAAATGCTAATTATATCTGTACAATGGTTGTTCCAAGTCTTGAAACAATATAAAAACCTGCCTTGGTTTTAACTTTTGTCCTGTTTCGATTAAAATCTTAAAATGAGCGTCGTGTTAAATTCTGGAACAAGGAACTGAGATAACGCACACAAGGCATCGCGAGTACAGTCTCCATTGGCCTATGGATATGCCGTTGCACGTTGTTGCAATATTAGTGCTCAGAATTTGAGGCGTGGATCACAACAAAGACAACTTTGTCTATAAATCCATATGTTCATACCTATACTCGAATCACACAATCTATTCAGTATCGGTACTTAATACAGTTTAACATTGAGAATTCTTACAAAAAAAATGCTGTTAGTAGATCCTATCGGCTTGGCAGAAATATCACGTCTCTTCGGTATTGCTGGATCAAGAAATGCTTCACACTAATGCTATATTGTAGCATCCTGTTGCGAATCGTTTGTTGTTCAACAAAAGTCACTGGTTCACCGTCTTACATGTAACGCGTTCTTCTGAACCTTATTTAAAATTTTCTTGCATACACATAATTCGCCTTTTTAAACTTTATTTTAAAGTTTCTATACATTGTACTACATGTTTCGACTGACACTGTTCATTGTAACGTGTTTAAAATTGTTGGTGAAAAACTGCTGTGTTTCCGTTTCGTGATTCTAATATTCGCTGTGTAGTGTGTGGTGTGTGGTGTGTCCAATCGCTCGTAGTCTAGACACAACAGGAAGAGCCACCAAGTACCATGGAATACACGAACGCGTAGGTGGGACTACACATCGAATATCTGAATTTTAAACGCCTGATGATGACCAATGTCGATCGAAACATGAAAGTTCAATGTACAAAAACTTTTAAATAAGTTTTGAAAACGCATTGTGTGATGTAAGAAACTTTTTAAATATGATTTAGAAAGACACGTTGCATAAAGTAATTTCAGAATGTTTAAAAATGAATTATCTTGGAAGTGCGATAACAAACCTAAAAGAGGCTATGGCGAAATTAGAGCAATAACACCAGATATTTTCTTGTTATCATTCCCGGCTTCATTTTCAGAATTATAAAGATCACGATAATTACACAATCAAACTTTAAAACTCCGCTTCTGCTGATGCACTTCAGCTGCTAACGTTGTTTATAGGGACGCTGATATAATTAAAATCAAAACGGTTACTCTTAATCATACTTTATAATGGTACTGCCTTAATAAGAGATGGGTGTGTGCATGATTAATGCATATATTTTTTGTGACAGCGTAATGTTTGGCATGATTACACTAATGACATTTTTACTACTCTCTAAATAATGTACGTTGACCTGTTTTGTCCTTTTATTTGTGAGTATGTCTCTGATTTGTTTCTCTGTTTTGCTCATATTTATTTTATAATTGGTCTGTGGGCTGTCTAGTAAGCATACAAACAAATAAAATATTTAATTTAATTGCATACAGTATTCGGTATATTATACATATGTTATCAGTAATCTTCAGAGTGCAGCCACCTTCAAAGTATATTAAATAACACATAAAGAAGTGCAATTTGTGTCACTGCACCATTAACATTTACGCAGTCCGGGAGTTGTATTTATATAACAAGACTACATCAAAGTACTGTGGAACCGTTCTTTTATCACGCAGATTAAATTGAAAGCCCCGTTATACCTAATTCTCTTCACTGAAGCTGCGGTGTAGTTGCTAGAAAATTGTTTGTTTTTAGCAGAAATGTCGTCTTAGTTTTTATATGTGCTGGGCGTAGCTCGAATCATTTTATTCTCTCAACATAAAAAAGAAAATAATATATCTTCCGCTTACTCATAAATTCAAATCGAGCGTTTTAATATAAACGTTACCTTGCCGGTTATGGAAAAAAAAACTTCTTATTAATGTGTTATTTGTATTATTTTCAATACACGTAAGAGAAGGGATATAATGAGATAATATTACAGTTTAGAGAATACGGCACGTTACAAGGTTCTCAACAGGGGCAAGGTTGAAATCAAGTGACCTATAGCAAAAGAGAAATACAGCAACATAATCACAATATGTAGGATCGATTTAGTATCCAACCTCCCAGAGATAAACGTATTTACTCTCAACCGCACGTATTTGCACTAGGGCTTGACTCGCTGCACATCTCCCACAGTAGGGAAATGATTGTGACAAGGGTGATTAGTTTAGGTAGGATTTAAGCACTTGTCTAGCGTGTCGAGAAGTCACGCTCCACAGATTATTCTCCATGGTTACGGAGACAACAAACTGTGTAAATATTTACATTAAATATTTTTCACTGGCTCTACACCCCCCTTGGGTCCTGGCCTGTGATTTTCAGCTTCATAATTATTTTAAAGTCGGTATGACTCCTTTGGACGAGTGATTAGCTCGTCGCAAGGCCTCTACCTAAACACAGGACAACACATACACAGAACGAACACATACACATACCAAACATCAATGCCTTGTTTGTGATTCGAACACATGATCCTTCCGAGCGAGCGAAGACAGTTCATGCCTTAGACGGCTGGGCTACCGTGACCGGTATTCAAATTAATGCTCTTAATATTTGCCTACGTGATTAGGCTACAGAGTCTCGCTAAGTTTTGAAGCCGGATGGTTCTGGGTAAGACTTGTGGTCTAAAATGCTGTGATAGGCCCGGATTACCCAACAGTCTCCTGTGACATTTACTGAACTATTTACTCATTATCATAATTACCATGCACGCTACATTCTCGATACTGTGCAAATATCATCGTTAAAAATTACCACTAAACTTGTAAAGCGCTTTAACTTAAGACGTAATTAAAATTACTGCAAAATAACACCTTCAGCTTCACATTAATTTTATTATTCACCAGTACACCAAGTAAGACATTATTCAGTATCGGTTGGATATGTGTGTGTTGTATAAAGACTTCTTTACTTATACACCTACATTGTTTGAACGAAATAATACTTATAAATTAATGTCATTTGTAACCATGAATATTAAATTAATCATTCATGTATATTTTCACAGCGAGGAGTCCATATTCCGTGCTCAATGAAAATGATCCGTTTAAAGACAAACAGGTTAAATTACTGTGAAGACATAACTACACAGAAATACTACAAAGTCTGAAATTATTAAGTTTACGTAATTTAGAGCGAAATGCATTAGGGCATGGATTTAATTCTGAAATTCAATACTTCAAGAAAAAAATTGCAACAGTAAATATTAATATTACAGAGCACAGTCTTATGCATTTTAGAGCCATGAAGTTCGGAGAAAACCCGGCGTTTCGGAAGAACATATAGCCTCCACGATACGGCAAGCAACAGACCAGCAGAGTCGGGCGAAAGTTTAGTTTACGTTTCCATCCTGAAGACGTAGGCGATATATTCCTTTAAAACGTATAGTTCTCTCCGAGCTACACAATGTTACATTCCAGAAGACCATACTCTGCACAGTCACCGCCATCAAAACCTCAAATCCAATAAAATTACTATTTTTAAGTTACCATCCATAAATTACGATTCAAGACTCTGAGATCATCATGCATGTCCATGTCTACTGGAATGAGGAAGGGCGTGCAGAAATTTTTTTTTTAATTCGCTTAGTGGGGGTGAAGTCCAACTGGGTCCACTCGGCACGGCGGCCACTGATTGCCCTATTGTACCTGTCCCGGGTGATTATGATGATGGAGAATTTGGTGAAATGAAGATTGGCAGGGGAAACCGAAGTACTCGGAGAAAACCCGCCCCAGAGCCACTTTGTCCACCACAAATCCCACTTGACCAGACCCGGGATCTAACCCGGGTCGCCGCGGTGGGAAGCCAGTGACTAACCGCTTGAGCTATGGAGCGGCCCTAGCGTGCAGAAGTTACAGAAAACCTGGTATGAATAAAATTGAAGTCGGTTCTGTTTTTTTTTAAGATTTCTCTGAATGTCCTCAGTTTTCTCTAACACATGGCAGGACTCATACAAAAAAGCATGTTTACTCGACATAGTTCAAAATTTAATTTGTAATTAACATTAATTAAAACTTGTCTAATTTGACAAGGCTTTCAAAAAGAAATGGTTACATACATAAGGAAAATATTATTGTCGATATTTCATCTTCGTTTCGGTCGGTCGGGTAAAATGCTCCTGAGCCTCGCTAGCATAGTCATTCTTATTTCCGAGTCCCGCAGGACTCACGACCATGTGATACTGTCTCAAGTCGTGCAACTCTGTTTACATTCGTTTGGAACATTAACCACATGTTTATATTTTGTGTTTCAGATATTATGGACAGCATTGTCCCTAGCACTGGGTTTGGAGATACGAGGAGAGATCATCCGAGGTGTTCCTTGCATCAAACGCTTTCACCAACTATTCTGTCCCACCGCCGGTAACAGTTACCCTATGTAAGTACAGTGGAAATAACTGCACAGAGCAGTCTTGTCCAAACATTTCCTTGCCTCTTTTCTGGAATCTGAAATTTCATTACAACATACACATGAGCCTGCCACTGGCGTTTATTTCAATCCGTCTGAATCCTCTTTCTTCAAGTTCCATTCCAATATTGTCCTGCCATCTACGTCGTATTCTCCCAAATGGTCTCTTCCCTAAAGTTTTCCGGACTGAACCTTTGCACAGCCTTATCTGCTATACGTCTTGCCTTACTTATTAAGATTGCGGTCTTCTGAGCTGTGACAATGGGGATGCAGGTTTGTAAGTGGATACCAGAGGTTCGAAGCAACATGCCGCCTCCATCCTAACGGTTCAAGTGTGATGGTTATGCGGTTGATCATAGAGCACAAAGAAAGGGACTGAAGAAAGGAGCTCATTCTGGACCGTCGGTAAAAGAGGCGGTAAGCGGCCCTGTTAAGGGACACACTAGTTTATCTTTGCGGGTAGGAAATGGAGTAGTGAGAAGGGATGGCTCTTGCAGGGACCCAATGTTTCCTCCACATGAAAAAGCGGAATTGTGAGAAAAATGGAAGTAGCCAAAAGAGTACCATTTGAGGGGCTTTCGTAGGTTTTTTTTACAAAGGAAGGAAATTTGAACCTGAGAATTAAGAGGAGACGGTTCTTTTTAAGGGCCCGTGTTGGTGAGGAAACAGTCCCTGTCTCCTCACCATAGCCATGGCAAAGGAATGTCATTTAGAAGACAGGAATTCGTGTATCCTGGGACAGGAGCTTCTTTTCCTTCATGTAGTGGATGAGAGGCTTCCACGATCTGCCAGAGAGAATCTTGAAGATGATCTTCCGAAATGTCGATATCCGCCTACAAATCTTTATAGTGTCACAAACTGAAAGATCAGAATGTTAACAGTTACAACCACGAGAATCTCAAAACTTATATCTCATTATTAACATTCGGCAAAGAGTAAAAGTTACGTAAGTGCATCCTACCGTTATTGCCGTTATTACGTAATTGTAGAGCGTGACAGATCCCTTAGTCAGATACCATTAAGTCTCCGTTCCTATGGCTGTGGTCTCAGTGAGCATAACGCACCATTCTGCACGCAAACTTAGTCATTTTATACAAACACTGCAGGTCCGGTGCCAGATTTCGGGTCATCAGGTGATCTAAGCGTTCCACGTTGGAAGAAGTATACAAAACCTCTATCACAATACCTGGCCTAGGGATTCGAGACACTTATGTATACATTTACAAACTCTATAACGACCCATTCCAAACCCATTAAAAATCATGACCCAGTGCGTTTATATGGCGATTAATAATGCAGACTTACATGCCTGCATATATTCCAAGGAGAAGCGTCTTTTAACACACCATACATACAAATACACGTAATATACGAATTATTACATTAATTACTATTCCCTCAGGAAGACAAGAAGCGTGCAACCATTTATGGAATCCGAAGGTTCTTTACCATGTTCATAAGAGTCTTCTGTCAAATGCGCTTAGTGTACAAACACTTTTATTAAAGTCCATCCCATAAGCCCCAAGCGAGATAAAAGCCACTCCTGGAGTGTGGGTTCACATTTTTAACTAATAGACGCGATATTTTTAAATCTGATTGTCTTTTACACTGAACTCGATAGTTCCTTCATGCTAATGTCACGTGTCCGAGGATCCAAGACTGATAATAACGGATTATGGATTTATGATTGGATTTATCGGTACTTCTTTACAACTACAATCAATTATAACAGCTCACGATCCCTGTCTGCCTAAGTCTCGCTCCGTTCCTTACTGGACTACGAGTGTCTTCTCTTTCACTGTGACGAATGACGAACAAAGAATCTCTTCCGACTGAACCCTCCTGGACTGAAATAACTTCCAGGCGACCCGAATACAGATCAGTAGATCACTATCTCCAGCAGTTCGTGTATTACTCTGTTATTGTTTGTGTTTTGTCCGTTGTTAAGAAACGTATCTAGTAACCTGTTACCCAGCAGTGGAGGTCTCACTGTTGACTACGTAGCCTGGGGAATGTGTTTACCAAACCGTTGTCTAACAGCGGTCACACTCATCACAATAATAACGCCATCTTTACCGTTTCCCAATAACCATTTATGTGAACTTTTTAAAGTAAAATAGCAATCCATAGAGTCTGACTGTGTAAGATAAAGAAACAATCGTATATGCGCTGAGTAAACATGCACTGGCCAGTGGATAGAGACTTTTACGAATACTTTGCGCCAAATCAAATGCAAGAGTGACGTCAGCCATTGTGATGTAATGGAGATGAATGAGAAGAGAGAAAATGTACGCAAAGAAGGGCTAGTTCTGTGGACACACACACATACGCGTATGTATTTGATGTTTCGGCCTACACCGAAGAGTTTCTTAAACTACTCCTTGTTTCTTTAGGCTATTCTCACGTGAGAAATGTTAGTAATAAGAAATTCTGTATTCTCTGTAACACACCTTTTCAAGAAGTTTGGCTTTTATGTCCATACGAAGCACAAATGACTTCTCGTAAATATTAGACTTCATGAAATATTCTGAATACGTAGCAGGTGTGAGAAAGTCTCAATCGAAAATCTCGGTTTCATGCTCCGAGTGCTCAATTTTTCTGTCTTGTTTTTCTAGTTAAACATGAATCGTGGAATGATTTCAGCGCGGTTTACACAATAACATGTAAAGTACGATTTTAGATAACTAATTTTAACGGACAGCCCAGTTTTATTGCCCAAGGCAAATCAAACTGTTATAATCAGCGTGTGTGATCGTTTGAAGTTCATGTTATGTTCTTGTAGTATGTGGTCACCACACCTTGCATGGCGGGTTTTATTCTCAAGCGTTTCCACTCTATTTACAAGGAGTGAAAGGGTCAATCTCTAAAACCTTGACATTAGGAAACAACTAAAAACACTCTTACGCAGGAGTAGGATCGTAATCCAAAGATTTGGCCGCGCCATAGCTCAAGCGGTTAGTCGCCGGCTTCCCACCGTGGCGGCCCGGGTTCGATCCCGCTTCTGATCAAGTAGGATTTGTGGTGGACAAAGTGGCGCTGGGGCAGGATTTCTCCGAGTACTTCGGTTTCCCCTGCTAATCTTCATTCCACCAATTGCTCCACAATCAACCTCACCTATCATCTGGGGCTGGTACAATAGGCCAGAAGTGGCCGCAGTACAAGGGACTTAGTCCCACCTCACTAGNAAAAAAAAAAAAAAGCTTGGAACAAGTACAAGTTTTGGGGAATTTAATTTGGATGTCCCTGGAAGACGCGCATACTGGCGCGGTAAGCTGACGCTTTCAAATGGGTGATTTCAGTCATAGAAATAGTTACACCAGTAAGGTGTGGTACTCTCTTTGGTGAGGTCAAGAGTCAATGTCCAGTTAAAGTCATGGATCTATGTATGAACAAATTTATGGCGTTCCATCACCACTTTCTCATCCTTAACAACAGCATAATGCAGGCGGATCTTAATTCAAACAAAGTTCAGGGCTTGAATAGCTTTTAGAAGCTCCATAAGTCGAGCCATGGTGATGGTGCTAAGTATTGTTTAAGAATTTATTTAAAATTTATCACACAATTTTCATATTACCATCTTCGTAACCGCTAATATTCTCAACGTCTCATGTTTGAATGAGGCGTAGCAGACAAACTTGTTAAAAATTATGTATAACACAGTGTCTGTTATTCAAACCTAAAATATTCTAAACTTCAAATAGGCTAACAAAATAACCTTAAAGCAACAAATCTCAGTTTATCGTTACTGTCTTCCAAATTATTTCCCCAACAAAATACTGAAAATAATTCTTGTCTCTCACATTTTATTTATTTGTCGATTTCATCATATTCATACAGATACATTAGCCTTAAATGTGAGCATCAATGGTTAATATCTTCATTATGCAATCCATTCATCTCGCTCACTTGGCAGTGCTGCGTTCTTCAAGTATTTAGAATTTACATAGGATTGGAATTTATTTTATTTGTGAGAGTAAAAGCTAACAAAAGAGCTATCCCTGTAACAGGTCCATAGGTTTGTGAGACGTCGAGGCTCCCACATTTTCTAGACAATCGGCTCACAGATAGCGGTGAGGTTGTCAGTCTTACGCGCCGGCCGCCTTTACTCCTCAGGAAGATTCCTGGTACTCATTTCTGTTAGACGCTGAATCAACCTAATGGCAGTATTACGGCTGGAAGGATAAGGCCGACTGAAAAATCCGATGATCTCGTCGGGAATTGAAGCAGCGACATTCCGGTTGGCAGCATAGTGCCTCAACCAACGACGCTACTACGTGTCCATTTGTGAAAGTACGAGACCAAAATAATATAGAATATAATGTAATTGTTTATGAAACGTAAAAAGTGCCACCATAAATGCGACTGAATATCACCAGTCCTCAGTTAAACAATACCATTATCCAGGATCCTCGCTGCGCTATACCTGAACTCAGGATCAGCTTGGACAGAGTTTAAATTTTTGGAAAAGGCTTCTTTTATGTTAGGAAGTGTTTCCTCCAGGCACTCCCGCATTTCTTGTCATAATTGAAATTATTTCAAGTCATTCTCTCGTTCCCGCGCTCGTAGTAAAGTCAATAGTTAGTGTGAGATATAGGAATAACTTCCGAAACCATAAGAATTTCAGAAATAATATTATTGACGTTTCTGTTATTTTACGATGCTCTATCAATTACTGCGGTGAATATAAGGTCCACTGATTCTGTATAAAGCATAAATTTGCATGGCAACTGCTAAGGGCGTGAGAGCTGGCGTTTCTGGCATTGAAGAAAGCAGTCTTTTGGGATTTGGCACCGTGTATATGTGGTGTTAACCGACGTTTCGGAGGAACGTATCGCCTCCATCTTCAGGGTAGAAGAAAAAATATAAGAAATCTGCAAGCGAAGAGACCGTGAGAACCGGTATGAGCAGACTGGTATTTCTGGTATTGCCTCTGCATTTGTTGGAGGTATTGAGAGAAATATCTTAGGTGA